GCACTATGAACCTAGGCGGAGCCACTTTGAATTACTGCAGCTTGTGGGGTTCAGTCTGTTTCTTTAATAACACCAAACTTCCTGTGTCCTATCAGAATACCAGGCAAACTAAAGGAGAGGAGTTTAGTAATTTAGTGCTTCAAGACCTGCGAGGTTTGTCCCTTAGGTTCCTCTATAGACCTTGATGTCCGCAAGTATAATTTAAGTCATGGGCCGGTCTCCTGGGAAAGACTGCTTTGGGCCTTTCTGAGCTCACGGGAGACACAAAGAGCCCTCTGAAACCAGGTCCAATGAAATGGCTGCATCCTCTTCTTTGTGTCGAGGTCCTTGGCTGTCCAGTCAAGCAGCCTTTTTCCACCTCACTGCTATCTAACAATGTCCGTATTCAGGCTGGGAAGTGGTGCTTTGATAGCACAGAATAATGTGCGAGATACTCAATTGTTTTTGGCATCCAGCAGGGCATCCCATATCAAAATCCAGACAGCCGTGGTTATATTTGCTCACGGCTGCACAATGGATACAGTCTGAACAGGGAAATGTCAGGCCTAGGACTTTTTAATATTGTAGAAGGCAGGCACCACGCTTTCGGATTCTCCTCAGAAAAGTCTGCAATCAGGCCCCTTGAATTAGTGGAACAGCGCCTGCTGTGTCGATCTACAGTGATGGCAAGCTCTTATCAAACTAGGTCAAGCATGTCCCGTCTCGTAACTCTGTCATCTTAAAGCACAGCGAAATTAATCAAAGGCGTTCGGAAGGACACATCGTCGAACTGTTGGAGGAAATTAAGAACGGATTTGCAAAACGAAAGTACTAGACCCTCACATGATGATTCCACTGCTGGGCATGGATCGCTGCTGTTGTCAGATACAGTTACTAGCACTTCATCTGGGTTCTGCACAGCAACCAAATGAAGAATTTCAGGACCCTGTACATCCCGATTCCGGTTGCATATTAATACCTCGTCTTGGATTACTTAACTCGTGTTGAGATCTGTTACTTTTTCACATTTTGGGGTCACAGACTCGAATCCAGCTTGTGAAGATCACCTCGAAAACTTAAATTCCTAAATACAGATTCCTTTCTGTCCAAATAGGGTAACAAACAAAAATATGGTCAGCGGCCTTATGCAGCATTCCTTAAACCCTCAGAATACCTAAGGGGAAAACCAGAGGAGAGTAGACGGATTGTATGTGTCTGATAAGTGGGCCTCTGGGCCTTTAGTACCACTCTCTTGATATGTCACCCGTTTCACCCTGTCATATCTGAGCACTGCTGAGCACTGAAGGTGTGTGATCTAATGATCTAATACAGCACAACCCCCTCTCCTGCGAAGCATTACTTACTGCCTCTATAAAACACGCTGCAGCCCCACAGTCACCAGAGTGACGCACTGCTGTCTCGAGTCGCACACTGACATCTCATACGCCTCCGGGGGGCAATTTCTTGCCCCCTGGGAGGTATCCGAGTTTCAGAGCGGTCTCTGGAGCCATTTGGAGTTGTGTCTGCCACGACCTTAACGACCTGTTAAATCACTGGTTGTAATTACCTACCTAGACTCCGTCCACCTGGGCGTGAGCTAAATCCATCTGTCGGAGCCCTGCAGCCCCCCTAGCTAACGGGTAGTGGAAATGGCGCTGATCCAGGAGGATTAGACGGGGGCAGTGGGGGGTAAACAGAAATGAAGATGCGCAGGGATTATCAACTGCTCCGCCTTTGTTTGCTTAATGGATGGTTTGAGCTTGGTTAGAATTAGGCAGGACCTGAATTAGAGGCGTGTGTCTGCTAATATCGCAGGCAAAGCAGTAATCATTGCAAAACATAGTGAGTCATCCAAACTCCTCAAAAAAGGCTTACTGGGTGCACGCGCCCAGTTAGGGGATAATATACATTTCTTTCCGCTCCACTTAAAATTAGGCATGCTCAGCTGCACTGTGGGAAGATGCTTCTTCTTTATAATCGGGTTCTGTCTGTCACTCCTCTGCTGCAGCCCCAAGAGTGCCCTGCGATGCTGGAGCCAGGATTAGTACAGAGCCCTAATCTTTCACGACAGATGTCACTCTCCTAATTTACGTCACACACAGAGTCTTGGGACAGAAACAGGCTGGATCCTGGATTCTCATCGATTCCCACCACTAGTTTGTGGGAAGGGCCAGATGCAGACATGCCCCTAAACGTAACCAAAAAGCCCAGCAAAGCTCAAAAGCCTTAAGAAAGTTCACTCACAAGTATTGCTACTGCGATCAGTTTTTTTTTTTCCCAGGATTACAACAAACCTTTGACCTATGAGTCAATCCTGAAATTAATTTGCGTCTTTCAACTGAAAAGGAGTTTGAATTATATGACAAGGAAGGAGCCTCCATCTTGGGACAGAAACTTGTGATGGTGGTGGATCAGAGCGGATCACACAAGTGTCACAGACCCAGACTGGACACACCCTGACCACCTCCTGGAGATAAGCCAGGATAACTGCGAGAGGCAGATGACCGCGTCTTTACAGTCAGTTCATCATTACGTCTCCAATGCTATTTAATGTCTTTGACTTGACACACAGCACCTGAAAACTCTCAGACAGGCGGGGAAAGGAAAGCAGCATGATCCCAACTGCGTTTTTCTTTCAGTCATTATGTTCTTGATTAGCATAATAAAAGCATGGTGCATCCTGGGACGTCCCCATGTGGGCGGAGTGCTCATGGGAAAGCGCTACAGGTTGGTGCCTCACACATTGCTGTCCCTGTGAGCCCAGTACAGTCCCCCATGAGTCTGAAAACAGTTTTCTAAAGATGACCAACATCTAGGCAGACAAGAGTTTAGAAGCACCTACACACCAGCTCTCATTAAAGCCCTGTTTTTCTGGAGTCCGTCCACTGCTGAGCGGACCCGTGAAGACTCGCAGGCAGCTTTGTGCTCACACGCCATAGGGACTGGACATGCCTCAGTGAGAGCCCTGCAGCGTGCTGGAGAGAACACAGACACACGCGAAAGCCTTCGTAACTTGTCAGAACTTTAATTCCTTCTGCAAATGCGAGTTGACAAAAAGAACCCAGAGCAATCTGCTGTGCTCACACTGCGCCCCATCAAGTGCATTTTATCTGAAGGAAGGCTAACAAACGATCTCACTTAAATAAATCTGCTAAGCATTCCGGTTCGAAGTACAAATTTCATCGTCGTCTTACATCACCTTGCATCTCCAAGGCTGACTGCATGCCCTTTAAAATGCATATCAATAATTAGTGCACTTCAAGTGAACAGAGTATTACATGGTTGCAAGAGGTACCATAAAAATGTACCAGGCCCGCCAGCTTCTCCTTGGTATTAGCACGATAAAGGCAGGCACCAGGCAGAGTGTAAAGGCTTTAGAAATAAAATGTATACCAGCAAGCAGCTTTGCAATATGATCCATATAGTTATGACATATTTTCCATTAATTTTATTCTGAAGATGGCAACATATATATACATAAACTTGTATTAACAGTTTTTTCTCTAGGAGTTATATACTGATCCAAACATATTTTAGGTCAGTAATGAATTATAAGGCAACATATACGCCAGCTCTATTGTTTAGAGACCTGTCAGCGTATCGGATTTAATGTACAAATAATAAACATGAATTCAGCCCCCCCAAAAAACTGATAATCAATACATGTATGGTTCCTGCTTGAAAAAGATAAATGGCCTTCTAGTACCAGTTACTAAACATTTCTACAGTGTACACTGCATTTAAACAGCTAGGTTTGGGCTTTTTTCAGTCTGGCTTCATTTTTACTAATGTCTTCAATAAAAACAGTTGGTTACTTGCAGGTCTTAACCAACAAATGCCCATTGAGTCTCTTTCGAGGCAGTTGTATCAACTGCACAACGATGCTAGTTAAAAAAAGGAATATTTTTAAAAATTAATGCCCTTTTAGGTTACACAGAAAATGAGAAAGGTCATATTGAAAAAGCATTATTCACAATGCTGGCCAAACCACTTTTCAACATAATAACCCTGCTAACCTGATAAAAAAATTAGTAAGGACCTTTGCATTAGCCTCCTCGACGATTACTGTGCAAGGACTGTTTGATTTCATCTGTACAAAAAGATTAAGATCATTTCTCCCTTGGGCACAACAGGCTGCAGTGAAAAGAGGGTGACTTTGCCCCCAGGGACCATAAGCCCCTTAATGTCAGCAAACTCGTTTTTTTCCCCGCTCAATTCAATATTGACCTTCGTGTGGGCACTGCGGCAAAAGAACAGCCAGTGAATTCGGCGCTTCAGGGTGCGTGATAAGAGTATTCGCCGAAATACAGCCCAGATAAAAGAAACTGTCCCAGGAAAAAAAAAAAAGGCATCGAGCTCTCAGAAGTAATATCACCGCTTGAGCAGAACGTGCTGCAGGTGTCTTCTTGCCCAGGGGACAGCAGGCGAGAGGGAGAGGCAGAGGCAGATCTGAGGACAGACGCTGTCACTGTCCCGCGATGGAGAGTATCTGCGCAGAACCGAAGGCACTCGAAAACAAAATACTGTAGCGGTGCTACAGCCCCGTCTTGCCAAGCAGAGCCCGCAAAGTCGAGGCTGTGGTCTAAACCAGGCTGCCAACCGGGAGCTTCGACTGTGTTCGCTTCTGGGGGTTTTCAGGCTGACCTTGTCTTCTGAAAGGGGTAAGTCCTCGTTTTCTCCCCCATCCCCGGGGTGCTGGCACCCTTCTCATCAGGATCCCCCAGCGCCGCTTAGCAACCGCCGTCCCGGGACCGGTCCTCGCTTCTCGCTGCAGGAACACGAGGACCGGTCCCCTCCAGGCTTCGCGTCCTGATCCAGATCCGACAGCAGGACCTGTGCAGCTGACGCTATACATTCACGTACCCTTAACTTTATCACCAGCAATGTGGGAGCCAAACATTTTAGTATGTTTTTTTTTTGAACGGACTGCAAATAAAGAACCAGAGGGATTAAAGAATAAGGAGCCCAGAGAGAGAAAAAGGCATATTAACAGGTGTGTAGACAAAAACATGTACGTGCGAAGATTACGCAGGTCACTCCAGACGGCTCAGACCCATGTCTTCAGATAGAGCCATAGTACCTCTAGTCCCGCCATAAAGAGATGCACAAATAATATCCGTAATTTAAACAAAACCCTACATTCACCCTGTCCCACCCAATACACCAGCACAGAGCCCCTTCCGATACAAAGCCTGCCTGACCCCGCGCAGTGCAAGCAGGAGGACAGTTTCTGGCTTTTTTGGGGTGTTTTAGTGGAAAACTGCTACCGAGTCCGATTTAAAAAAAAACAGACATTAAAAAAACAACAGCTCTTAAGTGCGATTAACGCTCGTTGCGGAGTGAACACCCCCGCCTCGCTCTGTAGCCGGCACAGGTACCTCTAAGCCTCTCCGCCCCTCTCTCGCCTGATCCACTGCCTCCCTGCACACCCCCAGCTGGGACGGGGGCGTCCGCAGTCAGCGCGCAGCTCCTCAGCGGACGGTGGCGGACGTGACCCCCGCTTCTTTCTGTTCTCTTTTCGTCTCCCCCCACGCCCCCCGCCGCTGGTCCCAGCTAGCAGGTCATTTTCGCCACCCCCAGCTCCAGGCTGACCAGCGTGGGCTCCGGCTTGGCGAACGCATCCCGGAGCTCGCCGTACCCGCGGTCCGTGGCGCTGCTGCCCTCTACTGTCCGCACGCTGTCACGGCCCCGCAGGCCCCCCTCCTCCCGCAGCTGCTGCTCCTCCTTGCAGCTGAGCGGGGCCCCCAGGATGAGCGACTGAGGCCGCGGCGGCGGGGCGCTCTCCCTGGGGCGGCTGTGGAGACCCAGGTCCAGGCCGCTGACGCCCAGCCTCTTCAGTTTCTGAACAAGCCGAACACAGAGAGAAAACAGCCTTAACACCCCCCTCGGCGGCAGCGGGACCCAGCGGAAGCAAGAATGGGGGGGGGGGGGGGGGGCACGTCCTTACACAAAGAGTTGTGGGAGCATGGAACAACCGACCCAGGGTATCGGCCCCAGCGTGGAAGAGACATCGCCCGGGTGCGAGCGATTTCGCTATCTTACACCAGGGAAATAACCGTATAGATTTATGCACGTGGCTAAAAAAAATAAATAAACCATTATAGGTATTTTCTTTCCGTCATCAGTAAAATCTTACACACAAGACCACGCGGGTCGGAAAACCCTGAAGTCGCTCAAGCCGCTGTTTCCCAGGAGCCCTGTTTGTGCCCCCCTGTGTCGCCCCAGAGAGCAGAGGGGGGTGTCTTTGACGGCTCTGCGCCGACGGATGCTCACCGATTCCAGGCTCCCGACCGAGCTCTCCAGCGCCCGACTCTCCTCGCGCAGGGCCAGGACTTGCTTGAGGACAGACTGGCGGGGGTGCATGGCCCGGTCGTACTGGTGATACATGTTCCTCCAGAACCTGGCACAGAGAGAGAAGGGCAGGACTCAGGACCCCAGCTGCACCCCCCCGACGCCACACACCCGTCACGCAGACTGGGAGAAAGCCCACCCGTGCCACGCGTACCGTTTATACCCAAAGTGCCACGTTAATCACGTTAATCTCAGATAACAAGGGACCGGGACAGGAAAGAAAAAACTCTTCAGTTCTGCATCTCCATTTTGAAAGGAAGTTTTCTAAAAAAAAAAAGCATAAGCAGGTGCAAGGCATGATGGGATGGATCACACAGGGGAAGAGGTGTGTGCTAATTGTCAGTGGAGCCTCGGAGTGTTCTAGAAGCTCCGCCCTCCACTGAGAAAGTTCTAGAAGCTCCGGGCCCCCAAGAATGTTCTAGAAGCTTCTCTTCTCTGAACACAGTGACTAATTCAGTGCTTTCTAGCACATTAGACCAAGATCATCCTGCGATGAGACCTGCTCTGTAAAGCAGCCTTCGCTTCTCAAATTATTTCCCTGAAGTAACATTGTCTGAAGGAGGGCAGAAAAATTAAACAAATTAATAGCCTCCTGCTTTAGGGACTCCACACTCCCCTTGGATCCTCTTGGAAGACTGTGGCTCAGAGACAACGACACTGCATCACAACCTCACCTTGGAATCTGGAGGAGATGGGAACTTGGGAGAGAATCGGTGAAATATTTAGAGGTTACTGCTGTGAGGTGGAGGTTTCCCCACGGCCTGTGATACTATCCCATTTCCTACAAAGTTCTCCTACAGGGTGTCTGTCAGTACGGTGCAGAGGGAGAGGAGAGATCCTGTTTAGACTAGGCAAGGGGAGGAGGGGGTCAGGTGCAGGTATGGAGCCTCTCAGATGTGCTCAAGGCCTGCAGGAGACAAATTGCACCCCCAGCTTGTAGGCCGATCTGGTCAGATCCGAGGCTACGAAAGGCCCCAGAGTTGCTGCTATGAGAGATCTTGGTGGACCGGTAGGTGGCGCTCTTCCTTCTGGAGCCCCACTGCGGCAGCGGGGATACTGCGTTGTAGGAGAAGCCAGCCACTGGGCGAGACATGAAACCTGGCCATTAAACGACTCGGAAGCCTTATTCCTGGGCCCCCGCCTGCCAGGGACACGCGCCGCGCGGACGCGAGACATTCTGAAAGACCGTGAAAAAAATCAAAGTTACTTGAAATGGAAGGGCAGAGTGCTGGGTTCCAGGACGGGGTGCGTCTCTGCGTAGCCCGGGCAGTAGAAGGGGTTCAGGTAGTTCTGCTGCTCAGCGAGGAGGAAAGGCCACAGGGAGTAGGTCTTCTCTTTCAGCCTGGGGAAGTCGAGGGAGAACAAGCCTTAAAACCACCCAGGCGTTGGTAATGATATTATGAATCCTCCAGGGCGCCCCAAGACGGAAGTCGACCCAGCGGACTTCTTCGGTATCTACAGGGCAGCACGAACCAGGAGAGGAAACCGCGCGGATGTGCTATTAACGCAAAGGCTTATGGGACAAGCCATGCTGCTGAAGCTGAGGCCCTGGGGCTCCTTTAAGAGCCAGCCGGATCAGGTCCCGGAATCCGTGAGCTGCTAGGCCCGACTGGCCTGTCCGTGAGGCCCGTGAGCTTTGCATCTCACTCTCTTGTAGAGGCCGTCTGATTTCAGCCCCCCCTGCCTGCTCTGAGACCGTGGTTCTGCCTCATGTACCGTGGTAAGAACAGCCAGGTAGGACAGACCACGCAGCGAGTCCTGCCGCTGGTTCTGTCTGCCCTGCGAGCGCACTGTGGTTTCAATCAAGGTGCGTTTCCTCTCCACCTCCTAGTTCCTCTCTTGTGCCATTTCTAACTCCCGCTCACCTCAGGTCTTCCCGCTCCTTCTGGGAGTTGCCCAGGAAGTTGCCGAACTGGCACGAGTGGACGTGCTCGTGGACCTGGATGAGGAACCACTCGTTGTACTGGAAGGCCTGGGGGAACTGCTCCGTCAGCTGCCAGACACACTCCAGGAACTGGGTGAACACGGGGGACACCTCCTTGGGGTCCCCATCCAGCTGGTCACACCTGGGGGAGCGGCAAGGAGCAAGGAGGAGAGAGAGGAGAGGGAAAGGAGGGGAGAGGGGAGAGAGGGGAGAGATGTGGGAAAGGAGGAGAGAGGGGAGACAGGCGAGTGGGAGAGAAGGGGAAGTACAGGGGAGTGAGACCAGGCTGGGGTGAGATTCAGAGCTCTGGGGGCTACAGAAGGTCAGAACGCTCAGGTTGGCAAAATCCCAGGGGAGTACCTCAGAGCTCATCACAGTTTATTGTCTTATTAGTTCTTAAGACAAATCTTTTTAATTCCAACAGATACGGATCTGGATTTTACCTTGTGAGGTATCTGAGATTAAATTCCCCTATTATCTACCCCAGTGAGTCTTCAGTAGACTCAGCAAATGCCCCTGCCTCTATGTCTGCTCAGCACTGCCCTCCACTGAGCTATCTTCCTGAGGATGTATATCCAGCTTCTGAAACAACAAAATCACTACCCCACCTGGCTAACAGACCTGTTGTTTTCTTTTGTCAACATGTGCAAAGAAGGCTACCTGTCTGAGAACTTGTGTCCAAATGATATCCAGTCTTTTTCAATCAAAACCTTCAGGAAGGAAAGAGAAAACAACCTTATCAAACAACATGACGGACGGAGCTCAATGACAATTTGACAGAACTACACTGTAGACTGTCCTTTAACATGACGCCCCCTTGTGGACGTGCATCAGCAGAGCGGGTCGGACTGATTCGGTGCACTGGGACCACTCTAAAGTAACAATTCCAGAGCTCCGGGCGAACGTGCATGCAGCGAGCCCGACACGTACCATGAAGCCCTTGATGGTTCGATAGTAAGGATCCATCAGCAGGGACCCCAGCGAGCACACCTGTGCGGTTCTGTCCCAGCCGTCCGAGCAGTGCACTAAAACGCTGGCCCCTTCCACGGTCACTGCCTGCAGCACAACACACGCACTCGGTCAGACCCCTGCCAGGGATCTCTGGAGGTCATTACGGTTAGACAAGGATGTGTACCACTGAAGCCACACTAACACAGGGAACATGAGGATATAAGGAAAAACTGTAGATGCCACAGAAATAATTTAGACCTTAGACCTGGGCTGTTAACTCTTTTACGTCAGTAATTACATTAGATGAGGACGCTGCCGAACCATGACAAGCCTCCAGGCAGGAGCAGGACAGCCTGAAGGTGGGTTTTAAAGGACAAGAGAAACTTGAGGTGAAGCTGCACCTGTTACTATTGCAATGTTGCTTCCGAGTTTTGATCCATCTTCCATCGAGCTGTCCACCTGACACCTGACCAGTCAAAGTGCATTGAATGAACTTGGCCGAGACGAAACCCGCATGCACATCAAAACTGACTGAGACCGTGACCAGCTGTGCTTCAATCCAAATCCAAAAAGTGACTCACTTTAGTTAGGAAGATGGCGGCGTCCAGGATGGCCTTGATGTGTCGGAGCCACCCAGAACTCTCCAGCCCCAGCAGGTAGTCAGTCACAGTCAAGGTCCTGCTTCCTACCACTGCAGATCAGAGCAGCCACAGATGAAGGCCATTACTGTCTCGCCCAACATATCCCCAACGACCTGCACACCTGCCTCACTCCAGTCACAGATCAAAAGGTTTGCTGCCTTTTCTTCCTGATAAACTCTGAGGAGGAAGAAGAATTTAAGTTGAGATTGTCTTGCAGCTCTGGGTTTACCCTGGATCAAACCTTGCAGAGGTCTCACGCTGGCCAGGGCGAGTTGTAAGTGGCTGAGCCACACACATCCGTCCCCACGACCCACTCAGCTGGCTCAGGGCTCTACATCCCTCCCGTATTAGTCTCAATGCCTGCTGACCTCTGGTCACTCGTGCTGTCTGGCAGCAATCTACGGTTTTAAGGTTCTTATGCTCTGTAGATATCCTTAGAGCCCTAAAGTTCAACTGCTGCAATTTCTGCAAACTTTGTGTTTTTCTCACCTAATGATTGAGTTCTCCAACCTTGCTCCTGGGAGCTACTGTTTCTGCAGGACTGAATTCCACCTCAGCTCTTGCCAACCTCCAAGAGCTCATTACAATTGAACAATTGTTCCCAACCTTTTAAGCTGTGGTACTTTAACTTGCTTACTTTACTTAATGACTTTCTTGTTTACTTTCCTAACTTACTGTACCTTACTTTACGGAATTAACTAACTTACCTTCTCCACTTACTTTACTGACTTGCTTCCTTTACTTACTTTCTTTTCATAAAAAGTCTTAAAAACACCCGGACCACTGATGAACACACAGCCCCCCGAAGCCTTGGGGTTTCAAAGAGCAAGACAGGCACCAGTGTCTGCCTGCACCAGCAGAACGCACAGCAGCTGAAGACGCTCATCACAAATACCACAGGCACACCGAGCAACAGCATGTACACACCAGCAGAAGCGATCTGGGTCGCGGAGGGGTCAGAGTGCAACAAGGGGAGGTCTGGATCTGAATTTTCTCAACACGAGACAAGTTGCCGGAGCTTCGAGAGAGAAGGCGGCCTTGCCGGGCACCGTGGCGCTCAAATCCTGACCTTCCAGGAGTTTCTGCAGGCTGGCCCTCATGACGTGGATGTTCTCAATCCCCACAAACTGGAAGCGGATGTTGGAGTAGTTGTCCTCATTCTCGTAGCCCTTCCCAGCTGCTCTGTTGGCCAGCGCGTTCAGCTGCACAAGCAGGGGAACCAGAGCACACAAGTGGAAGGGCTTCAGAAACTCAACACAGGAGGCGATTCAATTGTGCTTGCCAGTCATTAGAACATTAAAACCGAGGTCCTGACTCTCTGTGGTCATTAAAATTTCCCATTGGCCCTTACCAATCATGGCCTCCTAATAATCCCCATCTATGAATTGGCTTCATTATTCTCTGCTCTCCTCCCCACTGAGAGCTGATGTGTGGGGAGCGTTCTGGCGCACTATGGCTGCCGTCCCATCATCCAGGTGGGGCTGCACATTGGTGCAGGTGGAGGGGATCCCCATTACCTGTAAAGCGCTTTGAGTGGGCTGTCCAGAAAAGCGCTATATAAGTGTAAGCAATTATTATTATTATTATTATTATTATTAGGAACTGCACTTGTTTTCTCACTTGGAGGTTTGTGTGTTACAGGGTGTAAATAAAGGTCAAATAAATTCTGATTGAATGCATCTTAATTTCAGGCTGTAAGGCCACAAAACGTGTTTCTTTGGAAAGTGTAGACTTTCTATAGGCACTTTACATACATACAACAAGTGTGTAGCTCTGTGGTGCATTTTCTGTCCAGGTCTGTACATGTTTATTTCTGCAACAAATCTCTTTGAGATTGGAGTTCAATTCTTTCTATCTTCGTGATCTGCCTGTAGTATTTCACCCTGCATCCTGAAGTGTCCACTGACGTGGCCCACAAGCTAACGTCTCTTATGAGACAGGAAAACCGCAGAGTTTAGTTTTTGTAAACAACACCGGCAGAACTAAAACAAGGGTGGGGGGTAATACTTCTCTGCACAAAAAGAGGTGTAAAAAAAACCATACTGGACGAAAAGTTCTTTTCGCACAAGAAACCACTCCATAAAGCGTGAATGAACGTTTATTAAAACTAGCTTTTGCATCAGTCGTATAAAATCTTTGTTTACATGAACGTAGGAATCTGGTGTGCACTGGCCAAGAAAAAAGTCAACTGCAATAAAGGGCAAAGCATGTGAGAATGAAATCTCTTAAAGGAATTTTGTCAGAGGAGGTGTTTCAGGTCAGCCTTTAGATCTTAAGACCCGAGTCGCATGAAGGACATGGACATGTGATTGAGCAGCGGACGTGTGGAACAGAGCCTACCTTGGGTCGGGTGTCCATGACGTACATGAAGCGGCTGTTGTGATTGGCTTTGCTGATGGCCTGCAGCATGTGCTCGTCCTCCAGACACCGGGCGCTGAAGCCGGAGAGAGGCTGGCTGCACCGGCACACGGCGGCCTGCAGGGGGCGACAGCGCCACACACGGCCGTTGTCAATACCAGAGCCCTCCTACCCAACAGGCTTGGACAGTGGTCAAAAATAATCAGGAAAACTGCAGAATACAGGCTTGACATTTTACAATCAACAAAAGCAACCGATATCAGAATCTCCGGTGATTCCTGTTTAAATCTTGCCTGTTTCTGTCTTATTAATGATAATCAGTCAGTAGATCATAGATTATGGAGCACCCTAGAGAAAAGGAGTCGCTGGATTTTCAAAAATGCTGTATAAGCACATCAACATATTTCTGCATTTTTTTATAACAATGTTTTTGTGGATGTGGTGTATGTATTTTTTAGTGGTTAGAATTGTAGATTTTAGAATTTATAAAATAAGTAGTGCTTAAAAACACACAGACTACACACACATTAAAAGAGAGGCACTGCAGAAACACTAAACACATTCTTCCAGCTTGTTTAATGCAGAGTACTATACATTACATTTAGTACAGCACTGAGTATTCTTTGTACATTTTGTACAATAAACATTTGCTGGATCATTGGTCAATCCTGGAAAATGCTGGAATCCGGAATAATCGATGATCTACTGTCCATCATTCTGAATGAGTCAATGGATCAGTTTGTACCTGCTCACTCTTGTGCCTGGCATTGTTACTGTGCTACGAATGTTTGTTTTATTCAGTCAGGGATCTGTAACTATGTCATTGTGATTTATGCAAGATCTAAGCCACAGCAATCCGGGTTAAACACAAAGGAAATGGAATGAAACTAAACAGGCTGCTGCATGAAGGCAAGCCTGCGGTCTATCAGCCTGGGTTCACCCTGTCAGGAGCCACAGCCCTCCAGGTATGGAGAGAGGACAGAGGACCTCACTGCTACTGCTCTAAGCTCTTTCAGCCAGAAGGTGTGCTTGTAAGAAAAGCAGCACGACTGGTTTGTCCGAGAAATCACAGCCCTGCTAAACGGCACTGTTAGGAAACCGAAAAACCTTTGAATAGAAGCACAACCTACAGGCCGCAGGGAGCCTGGTTTGGAAGCAAGGCTAAGCGCGCATCTCATTTCTCAGGCAATCACTGGACATCAGAAGGCATTAAAGAAAAAGGAACAGTATAATCTACTTCCGAGTCAGACCAGCAGCAGTAATACACCGATTCAGCCCTGCAGGCACTACCTATCGGAAGACAAGTGTGACCGACAAGAAAGCTCTAAGGTGAAGCTGCTGGTCTTGACGTCTGGGACTGACCTTCTTCTCCTGGTAGAAGTAGGACAGCACAGGAAAGCGTCCTTTGCTCCTGAACTTGGAGCTCCCCACGATGATGGGCTTGCTGGCCGTGACAGGAACATACAGGTCGCGGGGGTAGGTCTCACACACCTGAGCACCAGGGCAACACGGAGATCAAACAGCTGGACAAATCATCCGCAACAGCCCTTTCTTTCCATCTCAGGGTAGTGGTCATCGCACACAAGGGCAATGAAATGCTCACTTGCATGTGTGCTCCAATACAAAGATACTAAGGAAACACCAACTTAAACACACATCAGGAGCAACAACAACAAAGTTAAATAACACTCAACTTCAGTAAAATTCAGTTCAACCAGCGTGCACAAAACCACCATCAGACAGTTGTGAAACGTCAGCCAGTTGTGGCCGTAAGCTCTTTCCTAGCTGTAATGCAAGTGTACAGGTGACCACAACTAAGAGAACGCTGCCAATCGACGAACTGACAAACGATCTTGGTGCTTCCCAGCAGCTCAGCTCTCTTCTAGAAGGCTGGCCCTGAGGCGGACGCCCACTGCTGAGCACTGCTGCAGCCCGGAGCCTGTCGAGAGGCCGGCCTGCTCCCTGCCCTCCCCTCGCCCTCCTACCTTGTAGTCCCTGTTGGCGTCGGTCAGCTGCCACTGGTCGCAGGGCACGCCCATCCGCTCAAACTCGGCCGCCAGGTCGATCAGCTGCCAGCCCTCCTCGCGCTGCTCGTCGTTCTGCTGGGGGTTGTAGGAGAAGGCGTAGAGCTCCTCGTAGGAGGCTGGGGGGGGGACAAGAGGAGCCCTCAGGTGCGACAGGCAGGAGGATGGTGCACACACACACTTTGTGCTTTGCCCTGCTCTGCCCTAACCTGCTCTGCTCTGTTCTATCCTGCCCTGCTCTACCCAGCTTTGCCCTGCCCTGCTCTCCCCTGTTCTACCCAGCTTTGCCCTGCTCTGCTCTGTTCTATCCAGCTTTGCTCTGCTCTGCCCTGCTCTGCTCTGCCCAGCTTTGCCCTGCCCTGCTCTCCCCTGTTCTACCCAGCTTTGCCCTGCTCTGCTCTGTTCTATCCAGCTTTGCTCTGCTCTGCCCTGCTCTGCTCTGCCCAGCTTTGCCCTGCCCTGCCCTCCCCTGCCCTCCCCTGTTCTACCCAGCTTTGCCCTGCTCTGCTCTGCTCTTCCCTGCTCTGCTCTGCTCTACCCAGCTTTGCCCTGCACCGCCCTGCTCTGCTCTGCCCTGCTCTGCCCTGCACCGCCCTGCTCTGC